ACTGTTGGGGAATTCTGGTGGTAAAATCCACAGTGTATGGAACTACAAATCAAAACCAAAGTCAATGTTGTTGTGTCCTCCAATCAGCTCTAATTCACAACCAGCTAATGTAGAATACAGAGAGACTGTGCCCAATTCCTTGCCATCCTTACAATCTCTATTGTGCTTCATGTTGCCAAACCAAACCACATCCTGCCAGGGAGACCATGCCAACTCATGGTGACACTCCACAGGGTTTCCAAGGTTTTAAATCCTCACACAAGGAAACTGTTCTTCTTTCTCCTTTGGAGCAGCTGGTAGATTTGAACCTCTGACCTTTCAAATAACAACCCAACACATAATGCACTATATAACAGCGCTCCTTTTATCTTGCCTAAGTACTCTCCAAAATGAAATTTTCCATTTAAATACACATCAGCTGTATATGAAATCTCAAAATCACCAATGAATGCTGCTTATCTGAGATAAAAATTTATCAGACGCAAAGGACTGAAAGAGTTTTTATTCCACTATAACTTTTTATCTCATAGCTGATCTTCGTGAATAAAAAGACGTTAAATTTATACATTATTTTTTAATTTAAGGGTTCTTTCTCAAAACTTACTTTCTACATATGTTTTAAATTTCAGATGACTTATAGTATCTTAGCTACTCAATGGCATACATTTTCAAAGAACGGATTTGTCATATAAATAAAGAGAGTTTGGTAAGGCATAAGAATGCTTCATCTGCATGGTTTCTCCATCCATCCATGCTAACTTCCTTATTTCATCAATGTCATTACATGAGGTTAAAACCATACACCATTTAATCACAGAGTCCAAATAGTCTAACTTAAGTATACAAAATTAAAACTACAGCATCTGCTTGAGCACTTAATTTAAAAGTATTTAGGTTCTGAAATGTCAAAAATACATGAAATAAATTTTTAAATCCTCTCCTGAAATGTAACACTACAATACTGAAAATTAAGCCCTGAAAATTTTCTCAAAGAGTATTAAAATCATCCTACGTAACACAAGCTTTTTAACAAGTCAAAACAGTCATAAAACAAAACTGTCACCAAATCTTGAAAATTATTAAAAAGGCTCTGATGGCATAAGTAGGAAATGTGTCATGATGCTAACTGAAAGGTCAGCAATTCAAATCTCCTTGCTAGTCCATACTAATCTTCTCTCTTAAAAACTTAGAGACTAGGAAACCTGATGAATGGGAATCAACTATACAGTAGCAGTCTATGGCAGCCGTTAGTGACAGTGATATAGGTCTATATAAGCATAGAAAATGCAATGAAAGACTGGATACTCGACGTTTTCTTTTTAAAAGTATCAAGTATTCATAATATTAAAGAAAAGTTTATCAAGCATCTTCCGTGCTGGATCATGCAACTTAACAATTTATAAGGAACAGTTATACCAATGATCAAGATCAAACAAAACATGGAAAGATCACTAGACTCAAGGTATAACAAAACATAACTATTCTAGTAAAAACAAAGATGGGATTTTAATATATTAATAAACACAAGGGGGGGGAACTATTATGCCAGCAATTCTTATATCAGCCTGATGATTGCATTAGTGATTGATAGCTTTGGTGAACATTTACCAAATGCCTTATTCATCTTTAATTCTGAATATCTGTATTATGGAAAGAACTTAATACTGCCTAAATGAATAAACCCTATACAAGTAGGATACCTTGGAAAAATTAGTATATTGTCTAAAATTAATCCTCTTTAAACATTTGTATCTATCTTTTCATATGCAGCTGTACTAAAAAGGCTCACTTTTTTTATTAAATTTTATTAATTTTAATGAACATTTACAGAGATTTTGGGTTTCCATTCATTCATTGTTGCACTATTTTCTCTACCCACCCCGCAAAAGGCTCACTTTTGTAGTCCATTTTATCCTCATCTCATTACCATCACGTTGGGAGTGACTCATACCTGACCCTAATATGCATTTTGGAGTCTATAAATCACACAGGAGAGTCTGGTGAATTAGAACCTCCAGAGATGTGTGTTCTTTGAGTCAGCTGCATAATTCTGTATGGATTATACTACCAGAGACATTTTTGGTGCAGTTCAAAATGGTTTTCCTAACCATTATGCTTGACTACTGCCATATGACTGAGTGGGACTATGCCAACGTGAAGATGAGATGATTAGCACGTTTGGGGCTGTTGTTAAGTACTCTTGAGTCACTACGACTTACAGTGATCCTATAAACAACAAGTCTGAAACTGCTCTTTCCTATACCATTTCACTTCCCTTTGGGGCAGGAACACACAAACAAGGTACAAAGCCTACTGAGGAGACTGGTAAGTCTTGCGATCCCATTAGGCTTTAATTGAGCATATTTAGAGGCATAAAATGGCAATCTCACTACCAGTAAGAAAGAAGCGTCAGTACTGTAGGTGTTCCTTTGAGCCAGAGATTCCTGGCAAGTCAGATCAGGACTTAGACAAGCGCAGCAGCAGGTACAAACCAGAGACTGCTATGAGACAAAGCTAAAAAGCATCTGTCACCTGATAGAGCCACAGCTAGTGTCAAACACCGCTGTCCAAGCCTACTGAAGGACTAGGAAGGAAATGTCATAATGGGCAAGACTATGAGAGAATTAGGGAGATCCAGTGGCCTAGGAGGTAGGCAGCTGCATTGTCAACCCAAAGGCAAGTGTTTCAAATCCACCAACTGCTATGCAGGAGAAAGAATGGTAATCATCTGTCCATGTGATTTACACAGCCTCAGAAAACCCACCAAAGGGTCAGATTTGAGTCAGTTCTCAAAAGACAGCAATGAGAAAGAGAAAAGTAAAAGATGTGAGTTTTATAAAACCAGCCTAAAGCCATAAAGCTGAAGGTCAAACACCACCAAGAACCCATGTTAACATCTGTGTTGCTGAAAACCCTATCCTTTTTGAAAGCTGAATTACATAGCCTGTTAATTTCCCTAATAGACCCCATAATCGTAAGTAAGATATGTGAGTTCTGTGTGATCATTGCAAAGGATTATGGACTAAACAGCACAGTAACAAGAGCCCTGGAAGGGACAGGTGGTGTTATAACTGATTACAAGGAATTGCTAAGAGTGGAGAGGCATGCTTGACCTCATAGCAATCAGTTTTGAGCTATGAACATTTTGGAGGGAGATTCTTCCCCTTTGTACAGTTAGTAATGGTCAGGCACAGTTGCCCCACATAAATCACACTGTTTTTATAATTTAATATTATTTTAGAAAAACAAACAAAAACCAAGAGATAGATCTTGACCAATTTTTTAATGCATGTTGTTATTGCTGTTCCTGTGTACCATCGAGTCAGAATTGACCCACCAACTGACCCCCCACAGTTCTCAGAGGCAGTTAATCGCATGAGAGGAGACTGCCCATCCTTCTCCCACGGAGCAGCTAGTGGATTTGAACTACAAGCCTTCAGGATTGAAGTGCAGAGTCTTACCACTAGGCCACCAGAGCTCCCTCTCTACATCACTTGATTTAATGTAATAAAAAAGACTCCCCCACCATGTACCAATAAATTAAGATGGATTTGTTAGTATGACAGTATGTAAAATCAATTCTTGTTATAAAACATCAAAGGCTAACATTTGAGTGTAGACCAAAGAGCACTGCACTAACTCCAATGCAGAGCAGCCAATGAGGGTTGGACTTCACCAGGAGCTCTGTGGAGAAAGATGGGCAATCTCTTTCTGTGCGATGTATAGCCTCCAAAAGCCCACTGAAGGATCACCTCTGAATCAGTTCCACCTTTACAGCAATGTGAGTTATAAAACATCACACCTCATTTAAAAGTCCTCTTCAGAGAAATCACAAGCTTTCTAAGATGTTCATATTAAAGTCGCTTTTTCACACTAAAAATAATAACAAAATAGAAACCACATACAAAATTTTCAAGCTATAATTACCATTTACTTGCAAATACCAACTTACTCCATGTACAAAATTGAAGATTTCTCTTTAAAGTCAGTGCACTTTTACTGTACTGGAATGATAAAGCTACTTAAAATCTTATTTAAATTTTATCTTCAACTTCATCTTAAATATCATCTATTTCTATAGAGTTACAACTTTAAGAAGAAACTTGTTTGTAACTCCCAAAGCTCACCAGATACTAGGTTTTTTTAAGAACTTCACTCTTCTTACCTTAAGATAGCAGTGTGCATAGCAATAATGAAGCAAATTATCAGAAGGCTGAGTAAGGCTGCTCACCACGTGCACCAGCTGCTCAGCATACATCGGAACAGAATGCTCCAGGTTAATTTTATCCACCATTATCTGAATGGACGGCAAAGGTCGAAGAGGCTGGAAGTTTGTGGTATTTGTGAAGTTACTCAAATTCTGTAAAATAAAAGTGCTTATATTTCAGGAGTAGACCAGTGATTAGAGTACAATATCCTCTAAATTATGTTATCTTGCTTTAAAATGGTTAATTTTTCTTTTCCTGATCAGAGAGAATATGAGCAGATCATCTTGGTTCTATGGATTGAAGATTGTCTTGAATGGACTAATCTTTCAATTTTGTCCTTACAAGGTTCCAATTAGGTCTTCTGCACTAAGTGCTTCTAATATTCTTAATTTTCTAAAAGCAAGGTGGCTTAAGAGTTGCTAAAACACCATTTTCACTTACCTCCCTACACACACACACACACACACACACACACACACACACACACGTTACCTGAACCCTTTTGTTTTGGTGGTTTAATGCTTTAGAAAAATGGATATGGGAAGCTGGATCATTACTGATCTTACTTTTGTTGCCAATATAAACTTAGTCCTAAACTATCCAGGCTTCTTGTTTCCGGAAAGGTAGTCTAAAAACTATAATGTAATTATCTAAGGTATCATAGTAAATATTCTGACCTCTGGGCTTATACTCTGCAATGTTTCTTTATATACTCCACATTTGTGCTTATTTTTAAAAAGAATTCTAGATAGACATAGAATTATTTTATAAGAATTGTTGTTGTTAAGGGCTGTAGAGTCGAGTACAACTCATAACTATGAACAACAGATCTGAACCCTGTCCTATCCTGTGCCATTACTATCGTTAAACTGCTTTTACTTCATCATGTTAAGGTAACTACACAAGCAGATACTGCTTTACTTAGTAATCAGGCTCTTACAGTATTTAATGAACAACTAATAGTACACATAAGAAAAAAACCCAAGTGTGAATCTCAAAAGGTACCTTTTCTCCCATAATGGCAGGTAGTAAATGGCCTAGCAAATTGAATTCTGCCATGAAGATTGTGCAGGTACATTTGAGGAGAGTCACAGTTGTAAGTCGAGTAGGAATATATTGCTCCAGAGATGACACTTCTTCAGGATTCAGTGTTGTTTCATTATCATCCTTCGTCTCTGAAAATAAAAATGTAATAAAAAGTCATTTTTAATAACTTAAAATAATTCAAACATTAATTAATTTTGACAACTCAAGGTGAAATTCTATTTTTCTTTTCAACGTTTTAACAGTTGTAATACAATGTTTGGTTATTGAGGGATTTTTTCCTTTGAGCAATGGCTAATTACTTATAGTTTTATTTCCTTTCTTTTACGAGAGGGAAGGACATTGTTAATTATGGAATCTGTTTCCCTCTGAATTACACTTAGAACGATATTATTTTAAAATATCTGTTCTCCATACACTACACACACCTTTAGGAGAAGCTACTACCACAAACAAATCAATCAAACACAAACAAACAAGTAAGAGGCTGAACAATTTCTGTAGTGGATAACATACATTGTACAGTACACTGACAAACAAAGGGCCTAAATAGGCTTTGGGTAAAGCTAAAACTAAAGAGTAAAGGAATGAAATATTTTAAACATTCATGATTATATCAGGCAGAAGGTACTGTATTTTCAGAATAACATTTAGTAACTCACTAACAAATGCTCTCTCCGAATAGAAAATTGACTAAGTGGAATCTGACAGAACTGACAAGAGTATTTTAATAACATGGGGGAGCAATGTGGGCAGCAGGTACTACAAACACAAAAGCCTTGCAGATTTCAAAGCAATGCTGCCCTTCACTGTTGACTCCTCTGCCAGAAGTCCACAAAGAATTTACAGTAGCATCAACCATCAGCTGTACTGTTCTCCAAGCAGAAAATTTTAATAAGTCAACAAAGAAGAATTCCCAGTATATAAGGAAAATAAAGAGGAGAAAATATTAAATGTAAGTTGCAAAGGCAGTAAAATGGAACACTGTCCTCATTCAAACGCCATAACATGGGCAAGTCATCACAAGTAGCTGTTAGACTGAAAAACTAGGCATATCTTGCTTTAAAAAAAAATACATAATACATAGAAACTAGGGAAGAAGGAGATTAGGAAATTCATAATGGAAAATGCTCACTGAAAATCAAATTTTTCAACCTAAACATCTCAAGGTTCAAATACAGTCTCTAGTCATCCAGACAACAATGTCTCTATTTTTTTTTTTTAATCAAAGATCTAATTCATCAGTTCTTGAAGGAAGACATCAATGCTGGGAAAGGCAGAGGGTCAGCAAAAGAAAGGAAGACCCTCAACGAAACAGACTGGCACAGTGATTATCACAACGGTCTTTAGTAAGACAGAGATAGTGACGATGGCGCAGGATAAAGCCAAATTCAGATCTTTTGTTCACAGGGACACCACAACTTGCAAGCAACTTGAAGGCATCTAACAACAACAATTTGTCAGTGATACCAAGTGGCTTTACCATACAACTCTTAAACTGTCCTACTGGTCCAACGTCTTGACCTCCAAGGTTTCAAAGAGCCTAACAAGGTCTAACAACCACAGGTAATAGCAAAGGTCCCAAGATCTTTGGCTTGCTCGTCCCAAACAATGTCAAGCACACAAAATCTTTCATATTATACTCTGGATTTTTAAATACAAAAACACACTATTAAACATGAAGGCATTTATCTATTAAATGGTCCTTATCAAGATTTCACATTAGCTTAAATTTGAGTCAGTCTACTTTGTCTACTGCCACCTTCTCCAATAACCACATGGTGTGTTCTCTTGGTGATCGAACTAGATGTTTACACTGTTGTGTTATAAAGTCAAAGTTTCCAACTTGAACTTATAAAAATGGAGTCTTTTAGAAAGTGTACTTTAAGAAGGGGTACTTTATATTTAGGAAAAGAAATCACGATCCAAGTTGTCAATACTCTCTTCTTCCCAAAAGCCCCTTCCTCAAGTACCAAAAAGCCTTAATCTGCGGCATAGTGTTCCCAATCCACTGCAATACAGGAGCACTTTTCCCTCATTTTCCAGGAAAATTAATGCAACATTTCTTAGCTTTCAAAAGTAGAGAGTGCTCTTCTCCAAATCTTTGATGATTAGCTTCTCTACACTGGCCTGCTGCATTAATGCAACTGTTTCCTCGTCCCCACTCCCACATCAAGATTCTTTCTCACCATTTTCGAGCCAGGCATAAAATACACAATAGCCTCTTTGAAATGGGCCTGTGTGGAACAGCACTGCTAGTGCTGATAGGTTTCCTCAGTTTATTAGAGCTAGAGCAACAAGGGAAGGACCCAGTACAGTTTCTTTACCTTACCTGGTAGCTAAAGGTCATAGTCCTTTCCATCATAGTTTTCATAAAAATACTTCTTGAACCACTGTTGTTTGTTGTTGTTATGTGCCATCGAGTCGTTTCCGACTCATAGCGACCCTATGCACAACAGCCCTAAACCCTGCTCTATCCTGCGCCAACCACACCGCCTCTGACACACCCATCCCGATTACCCCAGTCACTGAATCAATCCATCTCATAGAGGGTCTTCCCCTCCTGCGCTGTCCCTCCACCCTCCCAAGCGTGATGTCCCTCTCCAAGGACCCGTCCCTCCTGGCAACATGTCCAAAGTATGTCAGACGAAGCCCCAGAATCCTTGCCTCCAAGGAGTAGCTTGGTTTAATCCTCTCCAAGATGAATCTGTTTGTTTTCCTGGCAGTCCAGGGTACATTCAGTACCCTTCTCCAGCACCATAGCTCAAAAGCATCCACTCTCCTTCTGTCCTCCCTAGTCACTGTCCAACCCTCTGATGCATAACAAGCGATTGCAAATACCATGGCCTGTATCAGGTGCACCTTAGTCTCCAGAGAGACACCGTTGCTCCTGAATACCTTTGAGAGGTCCCTAACAGCAGACTTTCCCATCGCGATACACTTTTTGATTTCCTGACTGCTGGTACGAAGAGTGTTGACTGTGGAGCTGAGCAAACTGAAGCTGTGAACACTCTCAATCTCTTCGTCATCCATCCTGACGCTGCTAATTGGTCCAGTGGCGAGAATCTTTGTCTTCTTGACATTGAGCCTTAGTCCATACTGAAGGCTGCAGTCCTTGACCCTTCGCAGCAAGTGTATGAGGTCCTCCTCAGTTTCAGCAAGCAGGGTTGTGTCATCTGCATAACGCAGATTGTTAATAGATCTTCCACCAATCCTGATGCCACAATTCTCCTCATAGAGCCCAGCCTCTCGGATAATCTGCTCTGCATACATGCACTGTCTCCTTGAACCACTGTACAAACTTTAAATTGTCCCTAAAACTTTTCTTCCATTAATGTGTCCACCAGAACTATTTTATCAAAACTCATTCTTTTAATCAGGAGCTTTAATGGCACAGCTCGGCTGTGCTGCTAGTAGAAAGGCCATGCCTCTCTGGTAGTTTGAATTCACCCGCTGCTCTACAGGAGAAATCTGGACCATCTCCTTCCGTGTGATTTACAGACTCTGAAAACTTGCTAGAGTCAGCTCTGAATTGGCAACAATAACTTTGACTTTTTTACATTAAACCCCATTTATACTATATTGAAATTCTAAGTGTGTTCCCATTTTAGCTTCACTTGGGAGTTTCACATTCTTTAAGGCAATAGACCAGGAATACCATGCCCATAAACTGACAACAGGAAACCCCTAAGCACAACTGTTCGATCTTTTCAGCTCCAACTAGAGACACTGGTCCAAGTGAGCATGACCTGTCAACTTAGATTCTCACTGGTAAATGACGTCAGGTAAATGTTTACGGTCATCTTCAGGATGAACTGATATTTGGCTCCAGTTTCATCTCTTCTCACTCAAAGCATTCTGCTTATATTGTTTTATATTTAATTCATAAAATTACACTTCTTTGGAAGGTGCATAAGATGACTTTGTTACAAAAATTTTACTAGTATTTTGACTTTGAAAATATTTCTAAGAAATTCCTAACCTCACTTTTTTTAAAAGGAGAATATTTTTATAAAAATACTACTGATAAATGTGAAAAGAAAGGTCACCAACCAGGACAAAATATTTGCAATAAATCAGCAGCTAGGCAGTTACTCTAACAAAGGACAAATATATAGGATATTAAAAAAAATAAATAAAGACCACTAAATAATAGACAAACCACTCAGTAAGAAAATGGACAAAAAAAGACTAGAGCAAACTGAACATGCTAAGAGTTGTTCAATATGTAGAGTAGGACTTGGCAGAGTTTTTCCCATAAAAAGTAATATAAGAATTAACTTAGGCTTTGTATGCCATATAGTCTGTCACAATTACTTAACATGTACTACTTTAGCACAAAAGCAATCAGGGACATACAACACATAAATCAATGAGAACGGTTACACTCTCATAAAATGTCAAAATCAGAAATGTGTAAAATTATAAAAACTGAAAGTTCAATTTCATATAATTTTCTTATCACAAAACTAGGTTTCACCAATAATTTTAAAAAATGTAAAAATCATTCTCAGCTCATGAATTGTAAAATTTTACAAGTTTAACTCAGTAGCAGAATTATTAAAACTCTCTTACACTACTGTTCTGAATGCAAATGGTACAAAACCTTGGAAAAACTATTTTTAAATTATCTCAGTAAAAAATCAAGTTTGGAAGTAGGAGTGACATTCCATTCACTTCCTAAACTACATTCCTCTGGAAAACTTTAGGAACTTGGAGAAATGACGATAGATATAGAAAGGCTTCAGGCCTTTTGTTCATACACACACACATACGCACATCCCTTGGATTTAAAAGTTAGTTGGGTCCAAGGGTCTAGTATTATTTTATTTTGAAGGAATATTCTTTTAAACTGTACAGTACTCCTCTGTCATTTTGCTGCACTGAGGTAATCTAGGTTTGTCATGATGTTGAACGTTGTGTTATTGGGGGTCAAATGCCATAGTGGCTGCCCATGGTGGAGTGTTTGGTGGAACTCCCAGCTTAAGGCAGGTCTGGAAGCAGAAGTGGCATCCACTTCCTAAATCACAGGACTCTTAAAACTCTATGAACTTGAAGAAACGATGATAATTATAGAAAGGCTTCAGGCCTTTTGTTCATAGAGTTGCTATGAGTCGTGCTCAACGCAATG